CTTCCCATCCGCTCCACACAAATAGCAACTTGACCCAAAGTGGATCTCTCTTGCAATACGCAAAATATCCGCCACCAACGCAACATGCTTCGACTCCTCCTCGACTGTAATCGCGTGTGACTCCTTCAGGAAATTTCGCAATCCCGAGTTTAAAAACTTATGATTCACGATTCAATTCATTCTTACATAAGGTGATTCAAATGTTAAAATAAATCTTAAATACCAGCAAATCGATCAATTTGTACGATTTACGATTTAAGGAACATTTTATTTATTATATTATTTATCATAAACTTGCGATAATTATAGTTTTGGTCCCTATATTATATACCATTTTGTATTTTTGTTCTTAAACCAGAAATGCGCCCCATGCCGGGGTCAATTTGTAATTTCTAGAAATCCACCTATCTGCACGAAAAAGTTTTGAAAACTGCAGAATCACCCCTATACTTACTTCATCTTCCCGGCCACTCTGCTCAAATTGCAAATTTGACCCCAAAGTGGATCTCTCTTGCAATATCCGAAATATCTGCCACCAATGCGGCATGCTTCGACTCCTTGGCTATAACCATGTGTGACTCATTTACAAAAAAATGCAATACCGAGCCTAAAATCTTATGATTTAAGATTCAAATTGTACGATTAATTTCATTCATACCTAGGTCGATTCAAATGTTAAAATAAATCTTCAATACCACAAATCTATCAAATTTTACGATTTACGATTTAAGAAAACTTTAAATTACTATATTAGTTATAATAAACTTCGGATATTTACAGTTTTGGCCCATGTATTATATAACATTTTAATTTTTGTCCCTAAACCGGTAATTCCCCCCAAGTGAGGGTTAATATTTAATTTCTCGAAATCCACCTCCTTGACTGAAACAGTTCTGAAAATTGCAAAATCGCCCCTATACTTACTCCATCTTCACACCAGCTCCACCGAAATTGCAAATTTAACCCCAAAGTGGATCTCTCTTGCAATATCCGAAATATCCGCCACCAACGCAACATGCTTCGACTCTTCTCGGCTGTAATCGCGTGCGACTCATTTACGAAAATCCGCAACAGCGAGCTAAAAATCTTATGATTTACGATTCAATTTATTCATACCTATGTGGATTCAAATGTTCAAATAAATCTTAAATATCAACAAATCGATCAAATTTTACGATTTACGATTTAGGAAAACTTTAATTTATTAAATTATTTATAATAAACTTGGGATAAACCAGTATGATCCATTGCAACAATGAGTCCTGCAATGATCATGTACGGACATTCTATCCTTTACATATCATAGAATACTAACTTGTATAACATCAGCTCTATATCATTAATAAATATAGTTTTTGGTCTTTTACCTTTTTACATATCAATCGTATCTCTTATTTCATAGCCCGTCTCACAATATACAATGCTTTGTTTTAATATGATCCTTATATTCAATCTTCTAATATTGATCAGGAAATGGGAGAAACTTCGATGTAGCATCTCGTTATCCCCTTCAAACTCACGCCTGCGTAAAAAAACACATTTTACAAAAATATGTAAACAGGTCACCGGCACCGCGCATTGCGCGGTGCTCTAACCTAGTATATAACTATATATATATATATATATATATATATATATATATATATATATTCATGGTTATCTTTGAAATATCACATGATTTTCTTTCCGTAGAGGAGCAACCATTACGGTGAAAGGAAGTTTGTAAATTTCTTGTTTAGTGCAATTAGTAGGAAATTATTCTTTACAGGAGATGGAAAATACTGCGGATTTCCTTCTCATGCCCAAAGAATATGTTTTGCAATTATGGTTAGAGTTGAAAGAATCTAGCTACCAACTCATTGCAATGCTATCTGAGGGAAATTTCACAAGTTTCAGCAAAAAATGGGCACTACAAGAAAATTAAAGAGAAATCGGTGGCAGCGGTCATCTCCTCCAAAGCTCTGCTGGTGGTGAATCCACTGCCACACATGCATTCATAGGCGGTCTAAAATGTCCCACAATCTACCATCAACGGAGGCCGCAAAAATATTCCCTCCAACGTCCGTTTCGCCTCCACATCGCCGCTAGAAGCAGCCGCCGGTGTTATCACCTCTTGGAGTCGTTCCAACATCCACTCGTCCAAATATGCCGCCGCCATTGGGAGTGTCGCACCTTCTTTTCCACCGGAGGTTCCATTGATCTAGTTTTGCACCGAAGGACTCTCGATTGCCGCCTGAAGTACTCGTTGGTGTCATCACTTTGTCTCCTTTACGAGGAGAGGCGCGCTTGTTCCAGGATGCTGCTGCAACAAGCTCATCGGATTTCCACTTCAAATTGCTGTCGGTAGGAAAATTCCACCATCGCACTTCGCCTAAATCAGTCGCCGGAGATATCACCTATTAGCGCCGTTGCACACGAATTCGTATCCCGGTGAAACCTCGAGCTCGCCGCAGGCTTAAGAATGGTGCCGCTTCGTTTCCCGGCGACCTCGAATACGCTGCCCCGAAGCTACTCCCAGCCCCGTTCCACCTCCTCTACGCCGCTTGTCATTGTGTGTGGCCGGTGCGCGTGGGTAATGCTGAAGTTGTTCTTGTTCTCCAAACACGCCTCTACGGAGTTCTGGTGGCATCAAAGACCCAATTGTTAACAAGTCTTAAATTACAATTGGGTCCTTCATGTGGAAATGAAATAAAGAAATTGTAATTGAGCCTCAAACTCAAAAAAGGCAAATTTACATGTGTTGAGTGTAGATATTACACTCATTTACTTTACGTGGATCTTTTGTTTAGATTTAATTATATTTGTGCTTTAATTGATTGATTTTGTGTTTTATAGGTGAAAAACGAGAATTAGGTGTCCATGAAGGAAACAAGATAAAAAAGAAAGGAAAAAGTTGCGAATAAGAAAACAAATCAAATTGGAAAAAAGAATCTCGCCACAACTTTGACAGTGTCCACCATTTCGAGCATATCTCTCTCATACGAACTCCGAATTAGGTGATTTGGACGGCATTGGAAAGCTAATTTCAAGGGCTACAATTCTTATGTACACAACATTCCGAAATTCGGACTCCAACATGGCACAAATCGACGAACAAATCCTGATGGGGAAAAGTGGCGGAAATTGATTCCTATTAGGTTTCCACTACTTCCTTATCAAGAAAAGCCTGTAAAAGCAACAAACCTCTACACCATAAGAACGAAATTTTACACCAAAAAACGCGGAGAACGAAGATCAACGAAGACTCAAGCATAGTTTTTCTTATTTATTTTATTTATTCTATTTTGTTTATCATAAGAATTACGAGTAGCTAAGTTTTTAATCTAGGATTTTATTGGAACCCTATGTGAGGATGGTGATCCCGTTTTCTTAAGACATTGGAAAGCTAATTTCAAGGGATATAATTCTTATTTACACAACATTCTGAAATTCGGACTCCAACATGGCACAAATCGACGAACAAATCCAACGGTGACAGAGCTATTTTGATAATTAGACGGTAGGTAGAAGGGCCTTCGAGTAGTCTTCACCGGATGAGTGTGTCAATTGCATGTGGTGTCATAGACATACAGATATCACCTTAGGTAGCCATTTACGAGACTTGTTAGTTAATGCTTTATTTATAATTGGTTTGCATAGACATATAGTGAATCGTTTATGAATAATAGATTCATAATACACGCGACAGCGGGTTATGAGTAAATTAGTGTCTCGGGTTAATAATCATGAATCATATATTTCATAATTGAGGGGTTTTGGGTGAGCAATTCTTGCATAGGGGAAGATAAAATCCTAGATCCGTTTTTATATTGATATTCTCTCTTGTTTATTTGCTTTCCTAATTAGTTTAATTTATTTAGTTGATTAAATTTGACAACCTTGCGTAGGCTGGATAAAAATCATAATTGTTAGAATTTGGTACTTACGATTAGATAATTTGAGTATTCCCTGTGGGATCGACATCCGACTCTCACGAGTCCTCTTTTACTACTTGTTTGCGATACGTGCACTTGCGTGTTAGGTATTTAGCACCCAACAACATGTCAGCCCCAAATATCAGAAAATGGACTTCTCATTTAAGTCCTCAAAAGTGATGGCAATTCCATATACACCCAAAAAATGGAGGACAAGAGTTTTGAAGCCAACAAGTGAAAGAAAATTCAAGTACTTCAAGTCTCGTCTCACAAATATTCAACATGTTTTTCGCCGAGACTAGAAGTGGGGGCATTTGTAGACATCGAAATTTTGAGATAAATTACTAATTAATAACCAAGATAAATCGGTTATTAATTTAAGTCTCAAATTAAAGTTCGTAACATATTTGGGCTTTAGAATGTCCGGCCTATTCTGCAAGTCGAGAAACCCTTACCATAGCTTGTGCCTATAAATGAAGATCTTTGGTGCATCTAAAAAAACAGACTCACACATACACATATCGAGCTCTCAAGCTCACGTTTCGAGCCCTCTGCTCGAATTCATAACATATTTGAATTCAAGGTCTTCGTGGTAGGAAATCATATGTTCGATTCCTCGAATTCATAAAATATTTAAATTCGAGGTGTTCGTGATAGGAAATCATATGTTCGATTCAAGAACAAGCTTTTAAGCCCTTGAATCAAAATTAGAATAGGAGAGAAGAATTAGGGGAATTACGGAGATTGTAATCCACATCGTTTTGATTAATAAATTATTTATTCCCTATTTTCTTGTCTTGTATTTATATATTTTGTAGACTCGAAAAATTTGTGGTTAACAGTCCTTTCTTGTGCAATTTATCCTTAACTCACTTCCATCAAAGTTCGGCCCATTCAAAATCAACTATAACAAAAGACAAGTGGAATTTGAATGAACTGACTAGTATGTGTATTCAAGAAGAAGTGCGATTAAAGCAGGAAGGAAATCACTTTGCACTGGCTGTAACTCATGGAACTATGAAGAAAAAAATGAAATTTATGAAGAGTGGAAAGAAATTTGCACCAAACAAAAGATATGAACCAGATGAAAGTAGTCAGGGTCATGGAAAGGATTTTGTTGTCACCTATTACTTTAGTAACAAAAAGGGACACGTAAAGAAGGACTGTGAGAAATGTAAGGCTGGGTCCGAAAAGAAAGGCATTCATCTTTCTTTTGTACGTTATGAATCAAATCTTATTGAAGTTTCTTCTTACACTTGGTGGTTTGACTCTGGTGCTACAACTCATATCACAAATTCATTACAGGGATTCCTTACAACTCAAAAACCGGAGGAAAGTGAAAAGTACATCTGTATGGGGAACCGTGTCAAATCTAAAGTGGCGTTTGTTGGCACTTATCGCCTCATATTAGAGACGGGCCATAAGATGGATATTGAAAACACTTTTTATGTACCTTCATTTTCTAGGAATTTAGTTTCTTTGTCAAAACTGGATGTTTGTGGTTATTCATCTTTAATTGACTGTGGAAAACGCAGGATATCTTGATATATGAATTGCTTTTATGACCTGTCACAGGAACTCATAAAGTTTATAAGTGATCAGTGATAAGCCTCACAAAATTTTTGTATAAGTTTATTGGAATTTAATTATATTTCTAAACTTTTTTTTATTTATGACATGATTAAATTTGGAATTTCTTTGTAGAGAATATTTTCTAGAAAATTAGTATGTATTTTTTTTTTCTTTCGCCTCTGAAATAAGTCACATAGTTAATTTGCTTACATCATGTTAATGCATCACTAAAATTAGTAAAATTCATATATCTACGTAATATCAAAAAATATACATTCTATTATTTTAAATAGTAAAAAATAAAAATAATAAGAAAAAGAAGAAAAAAGAAAATATGCTTAATTGGTAATTATTCAAAAATGGAGGTCCACCATTTTAATCACAATAAAAATAATCCACATAAAGCTTATTTGTGGAAGTTATATTTAACATTCTTAAACATACAACACATTAAAATCAACAATAAATTGGATTTATTTTGTTATTTACTAATGTAATTTAAGTAGCTTTCACATTCTTAATGTGATTTACACCATAGTAAATTGACACTCTTCGAGCACAACTAAGGATCAAATAAAATTATTCAATGATGCTTGATTCATAATTTTTTTTGAAAAAATCGTTTTAATTTGGCTATTAACATAAGCAACTAAGCTGTCAACCCTCATTAGGAAAGTTGGTACCTAGCATTTACCAATAGGGTAAGGTCTAGGGTTCGAGTCCTCCCCTCCCCTACTTTCCCTTGTAATGGACTTGAATTTACTCAAAAAAAAAAACATAACCAACTAAGCTTAAATATTTCTTTTTCAAGTTTGAATAATGAAGCTCGATTCGAGTTCGAATCCAATTAAAAAAAAATTAATAACATAGTATTCAAACAACATTAAGCTAATTGAGTTTGATTTGTGTTCGGTGAATTAAAACTCGTTCGAGCTATATTCGGTTATTATCAAATTAAACTAAAAAACAACTCTATAAGTTTGATGACAAATGATACAAAAACATTTCTTTTTTCATTGTAGTTACAAGGTTTTTAGTGTGATAGTTGGTAGGTAATTTAATAGTAAATGGGGTGGGTTAAATTAGACACGGCCACGGGCCGGGTTTGATTTGGACCCGACCCCGACCCGCCCCGTTGACCATAGACCCAGACACGACCAAGTATGGGTCGGTTTCGGGTCCCGATTATTTGGACTCGAGACCCGACGGGTCTACCCGGCAGGGGGACCCGAGGGCCCGGCCCTAGGACCCGTCGGGTCAACCTGGATTTTCCGGTTTTTTTATTTAAAAATTGCACATGTGGGGGTTTAAACTTGGGAAACCGGGAAGAAATGGGCAATTCTTACTAATGGGCCAACCAACATATTTGAATAAATATAGACGATCAATATATATAAATATAAATCACTGGTGTAAAATAATAAATATGTTAAATAAATTATTAATTTTCATATGAATTATAATAAAATAATTTTAATTAAATTATTAACAAATGAAATATAAGAAACTTTTAAAAAATATATATAGAATCACCGTTCAATACTTCAAAACATCTATTATTAATTAATATATCAATATAATTTCCACTATTTAAAAATATAAAGTATTGAATCAATTCAATATATAATAAACAAATGCGTTGACTTAATACAAACTCACTTATGCTATTAAAATCGATAGTGTGAAAATTTTGAATGAAAAATAAAATAAGATGTTTATTTAAAAAATAGACTATAACTCGTTTCAATTAATTTAGATCGATTAACTTCAATTGTTGACAAGAACTTATTAATTATTGATTATTTTATCATAAGATAATTATTTAAAAATATAAGATGGTGTTTATTTTAATAAAAATAGATTATATCATATTCGAATTAATTTCTTACTTTAAAAATAAAACCATATATGACGAGTATAATCAAAATATTATGATGTGATTTCTCTTTTAATAATTGGTATAATTTGTAAAATCGTAAGGATTCAATCGAAGATCTTATGATTTAATCATTTTCTTTTACATTTATATTTTATTCAAATATTAGAATCGAATTGTAATATTTAAATGGATTAAGCTCGAGTTTTTTAATTTTTATTTTATTATATTATATTTGTTAATAATTTAATTAAAATTATTTAATAATAATGAATTTGATAATTAATAATCTATTTAACATTATTTATTATAATCATTTTACACCTTTTATTAATGTTATATATATATTCCTTGTTATAATAATCCTAACTATAAATATATAAATATAAATAACACTGTAAAATGATTATAATAATTGTATAACTAATGTTTTATAAATTATTAATTGTCATTTTGACTATTATTATTATCAAAAATCTCGACTAATAACAAATGCATATATATTTAATTTTGAAAAATACAAACAATTATGATTTAATTTAAAAGAAATATTGAATTTTGATTTTTTTTTTTATTTTGAAATTTTGAAAAAATTCTCAATTATTATTTTCCCTATAAATACCTATAATCCAATCTTCACAACTTTCATTTTTATTTAGTTTATGTCTCAAGGTCTTAATCGTTTCATTGTTTTCTAAAATTGTTTAGTGTTTTAATTCAATTTTTTTTTTTGTAATTTAAAGTTAATCTCAAGTTTTTTCAAGTTTCAATTTAAGTTTTTTTTCTTTCTTTTAAAAAATAAATAAATAAGAAAAAAAAAATGAAAAACCGGTTTGGACCCGGACCCGCTCCGAACCCGGATGAACCCGGGTGGGACCGTCCTGGACCCGGACCCGCCTCCCCATGAGTCGGTTTCGATTCTCCTAAAAGTGGGACCTGTACTTGGTGGGTCCGACCCGGACCCGGACCCGACCCGCCCCGTGGCTGTGTCTAGGTTAAATGCACTTGCAAACTGCAGTAAATTTTTGTTATTTTCATATTTTGACACACAAACACAAATATAACACAAATTAATTGAATGTAGTGGCTTTTAATTTCGAATACTTACATACAAGAATTAGCTGCAACTACTCTCTAATTAAGGAGCTAATTATTATTTATTGAAGATACTAAACAATAGAATAAAGCTCGAATAAAATTGTATTTTGTTTCCTCTTTTATCCCTAAACTATGAAGGTAACGTACTTTTTATTTTTATCTCTTGATAAGAAAAGTTTGAATATGGGAATTTAGAAAAAAGTAAAAAAAAAAAAAAAGAAAAAAAAAGTGGAGAATTGAACTATTCATATATTTTTTTTTAATTGAAGGGAAAAACATCTTAATAATTCTAGAAATTCTAAACGAAATAATTATGTGTGCACGTCAAGAACAATAAGTTTACTTTTCCAGGATACATCAATATTGTCAAATGCTACTCGTTTACTTATAAAACATGGGATGGGAATGCATGATAGCAAAACAAAGAACTCTAATAAATTTAAGTATTAATAAGCAGTTTAGAAAAAAAAAAAACGTTTAATGGGGTGGTTTGATATACACCCCTAATATGGAAAATATAGAAGGTTAGGTTTAGTCATAAATTTTTCCTTTGAGATGCCCCTGAAGAGGCAAAAAGATTTTGCTGCAATTACATGCAATTTTTTTCCTAATTAAGTTCAACATTTCCACCAACTGCATTTATCATTTTTATTTTCTTCAGTGTGAGCTGGGCTCGTTGAAAATATTTAAATGCTGGAATTCTCTAAAGCACTCGCAGAACCCGAGGATGTTTAGGGCCAAAACGAACACAACCGAGAACTTGAACAAGTTCGTTTAGTATGGTGTTAAGTTTATTGTCTTGGTTTAAACAAACAGCCGACGGTTCAAGATGAAATAATTCACCGATTGGCTAAGTGAATCCGATAAGCTTTAACTAGGGAAGGTTCAAGATGAAATATTTCACCTATCCCGATGCTGCACTATTCACTAAGGAATTTTGACAAATAGATCTTATGCGATAAGATTGGAAGAACAATTTTATTCATGTGGGGGATTGTTGGAACTTTCATGATTTCCAATAATTAATATTGAGTAATATTAATTAAATTATGTAAAGATTACTTTCATTTATTTACTTGATCAAAATCATGAAGTAAAGTGAATGAAAATTGTCTTGATTAAATGGTTAAAGTTCAAAAGATGTGCGCTCGATCTGATCGAGTGATAGGACTAGTTTGGGTTTAGGTGTCCACAAATATTACTTTTGGGGACATTTAGTAATTAGTCAAATTAGTTGACCCAAAATTTAAATAATAAAATATTTGGCCCAAACCAAATATTTAATTAATTGGCCCATGACCAATTAATTTTCCTACGTTTTTTGAACTCGGTAAAACGAACAGACACAACCTTTTGCTTCTTCTTCCAACCATTGCAACCCTCTATGAATGGATCTCTATCGCCTATAGATAAAGAGAGAATCGGGCCAATTATGTACTGAATTTAATCTGCGATTGAGAGATAGTTCTTCATATTTTGCTTTTTTCTTCGTCAAAGTTCCGTTCGTTGTTCAAGTTCGCCGTGGGTCGAATATTTGTGCAAATATTTGACAACCGATCGTTGTACCTTGGGAGACTACCTGGAAGAGACTGTGCACCGTTGACGGCCCGGAAATATTGTCTTAAGGGAATTGCTTTGGCAAGCCTCGATCGTTCTTTGTGTTTTTCACAATTCCTCTTCGATCGTTCTTTGTGTTTTTCACAATTCCTCTTTTCAACAAACAAGTAAGTATTTTTCGTTTACGCAGATTGTTATTAATTATATCAACAAAAGATTTAGGGAATAATATAGAGAAAATAAATGTATTATTCTCTACTTCTTTTAAATATACGAACGCATTACATTGTGCTCCATATATAACACTAGAAATATTCAAAGGTCATGAGCTACAAGTCTTTTAATAGAGTTAGCAGAATGTATTATGGTGTGATAATGGTGGGAGTGATCGTAGTCATCCACAACATTGAAAAAATCTTAACAATATCGACCAATAATAATT